TTATGTTGGAGAATGAGCGGCTGGAGTACGTAGATCAGTACATCTATCTTGGAAAACAAATAAGTTTTAAAAACAACAGCAATGGATTGGAGATAGAGCGCAGAATCAAACATGCTTGGAATAAATATTGGAGCCTAAAGGAAGTATTTAAAAGCAATATGTCAATAAAACTCAAAAAGAAAACCATGGACTCGTGCATTCTGCCCTCTCTAACATATGCCTGTCAGACGTGGAAATTTACAAATAAAATGAAAAACAAAATCAGTTCGTGCCAGAAAGGAATGGAACGTAGTATGCTAAACATTAAAAAAATGCACAAAATACGACACTCAGAAATAAGAAAAAACACCAAAGTGATAGACGCGCTGGCTTATGCCCAAACACAAAAATTCAGATGGGCCGGTCATATAGCCCGATACCTGGACAACAGGTGGACCATAAATGTAACCACATGGAAGGGCCCGCCAGGCAAACGCCGGGTAGGGAGACCCTACATGAGATGGGAGGATGATATAAGAAAGATCGCAGGAATAAACTGGCTACAGGTAGCAAAAAATAGAGAAAAATGGAAATCCTTGGAGGAGGCCTTTACCTGAGAGGGGTCCATGCAAATTAGAATTATAAGTATTATTTTATGAAATTTGGATATTATTTATTAAGTTTTATTTTTGTATATACACATTTTAGATTGTTGTAATGAATTAATGTTTATTGGTATTGATTGAATTAATTAATAAAGAATTAAAATGAGGTTTGGACTAATAATGTAATGAGGTTGTTATCTATTTGCTATTGCAATTAATCTGAATGTTATAATGAATGATTTAAGGTATCTGTAATATAAAAATGTAATGCAATGTTATCGATATGAATAGGATTGTTGCAAATCTAGACTGATATATTATGTGCATGGAATAAAAGGCTTTTTTATTTATTATTTTATTATTCCTCGATCCAAATCTCCTCGGAGCCCACTCTGACGTGCCCGCTGCATATCAGTCTTTCCCAAAGGTAAGGGGCTATGGACATGATCGCGTTGTACCTTGTCGATGCCTTTCTGTTGGTGCCGGTGAAAAGGAAGCGTACGTCCTGTGTTTTTCGCTTCCAACCACTCGTTCTGCCGAATGATGATTCCCGGGAGGTCTTGTGGTTTTACCGAGTTGGATATTCCTTTTATTATGACCGCCGGACGAAGGTGCTTCTCCCATTCGGCTCTTATGCGCGTTTCCTTTTCATAATAATTGATGGCGTCCATGAACCTGGAGGCGATCGTTCTGTTGTCAAATGCAAATCTCACCTTTCCTTTGGAAAGGGGTTTTATGCTATGGTAGGCTGGTTTGATTCCCGCTCTCTTTAGAGATTCTTTGACCTTTTCCTTTATGGTGTGTTCGCTTTCGAGGCCTCTTCCACCGATGATGACTGCAGTCTCGCTTCTGGAGGGGATTGAGAAGCATTTGTTCGCCTGGTTCTTGTCGTTGCGGCCTTTTATCGATTTATGTGACAGGCTAGGGTGGCGAGTAGCAGCAGTAGGTGGGGAGGCGACGATGTCCGCAGCGGTGGTGTTGATGACGCCGCCGGAGTCAGGGTTTTTTATTGGATTGTGGCTATCGCGGCTGCGACCGTCCGCGTCTTGGTCTCCCAGACCTCTCATGAATCTAGAGAGAGTGGGGAGGGGGAAGGGGTGTGAGAGTGGGAGAGGGGGTGAAGAGTTAATAATAATAATAATAATAATAATCATTTTATTTGCTTGAAAACATGGTACATAAGGTTCTCATGGTATTATTAAAGTTCAACATGTTTTTGCTTTTATTAACAGCATGCAAATCTTCTTAAAATTAATTAAATGTCATAATTGTCAAAAATTTAATTATACGTTATAGAAATTATTTATAATGCGAGCACAATCTTACTAAAATATATACAATATTAATATTAAATTATACATATTATATTGATTGTATATCATTATCAAAAAAATATTCATTAATATTATAATAACATTTATCTACTAATAGTTTCGTCAATGCATTTTTAAATTTAATAATATTGTAATGTTTAATTTGTTCAGGAAGCTTGTTATACAATCTAGGAGCCATTTCAATGACACTTCTTTTCATGAGAGCTGTTTTACAAATACTTGTACAGATCTGAGGTTTCCGAGGACGAAGTGTGTATTGATTCTGTTGTTCCTTAATTTTGAATAGCTCTGCATTTTTCTTTACAAAAATACAGCATTCTAATACATACAAGCATGGTAAAGTTAATATATTCAAAGACCTAAAATATGGCTTGCAGCTCTCCGTTTTCTTCAATCCACAAATTGCTCTAATACATTGTTTTTGGGCCCTCAACAATACTTCTCTGTAGGTTGAAAGTCCCCAAAATATAATACCATACCGTAAAATTGACGCCACGAAACCATGATACGCCGTTAGTACAGTTTTTTGGTCAGCTATTTTTGATAATTTGTACAATGCAAATGAAAACTTATATAATTTCTGGCATACCTCAGTGGAGTGCGATTCCCACGACATATTACTATCTATTAAAATACCTAGAAATTTAGCAACTTTAGTTTCATTAATCATTTTGTTTTTATAACTAACAGATAAATTTGGAGTATACTTCCGCTGTGTAAATTGCATCAAATTGGTTTTATCTAGATTTATTTTTAATTTGTTTAACTCGAGCCATTTAATAATATTTTTGATAGCCGTGTTAATATGGTATTCATAACTTGCAATATTTTCACATTTTATAAATACGGTGCTATCGTCTGCATACAATATCATTGGAAATGTAGTAATGTTAACTATGTCATTAATGTATGCAATGAACAATAAAGGACCCAAAACACTTCCCTGCGGAACACCACATCTGACTGACCTAATAGGGGATCTGTAAGTTATTTCCTGCTTAGAATACATACAAATTTGTGTTATTTCAGTATATTGAAGTCTATCTTGCAAATATGATTTTATTAAGTTTAGCGCATTCCCTCGAATACCATAACGATCTAATTTTTCTAATAAAATGCTGTGATCAACAAGGTCAAACGCATTTTTCATGTCCATGTAAATAGCACATGAAGGTACTCGTTTATCTAGACATAGAATAGATCTTTTCACTAAATCATAGATAGCTGTATTTATAGTAGTATTTTTACGAAACCCTTTTTGCTCATTTGCTAGTATATTATGTTTTTCAAGGAACTCATAAAGTTGACTATGAACAATTTTTTCAAAGATTTTTGAAAAGACTGATAACAAAGCTACTGGCCGATAGTTATTTGCAATTTCTTTATCACCCTTTTTAAAAAGTGGTTTTATGACTGTTATTTTTAAGTTGTTGGGGAATATGCCTGCTGTAAGACATAAATTTATGATATGGCTCAATGGTTGTGCGATTAAATGACCAACATACTTTACTACTTTTGTGGAAATATCGTCAAACCCAACACTATTTGTATTTTTCAAAGATAATATTATTTCTAAAACCGTATCAGCTGTCGTAGGACCTAGAAATACAGATTTTAAATTAGTATTTATGTGAGTAAGTTTGTGTATATTTAAATTATTACTGTCATCATTATTTTCATTAACATTTTCAATTTGAGTAAAATTAGATTCATTAGTTTTAGTTGTATCTACGAAATAGTCATTAAATGCTTTTGCAATGTCAACAGGTCTAGTTAGGCATTCATTATGTAGTCGTAATTTTAATACGGGTTCTTTAGGCATAACATTCTTAGAATTTTTAATTATTTTCCAGGTAGCTCTTGTTTTGTTTTTTGAGTTTTTTATAAAGTGGTCATTTTTTACGCGCTGTGTTTGTTTAATTATATTTTTTAACCTTCTACTATATAATGTATAAGCAATCTTATTATCGTTATTTTTGCTCAACCTAGAACGCCAAAGTAACTGTCTTTTTTTTCTACAGCAAACCCTAAGCCCTTTTGACATCCACTTTCGTGTGGAGTTTATTGTCCTTTTTATAATTTTGTAAGGAAAACATAGATCATACAAGCATTTAAATATATCAAAAAATTTGTCATACGTTATGTTCGGGTCTGTGGAAGATAATATGTCATGAAAGGTTAAACTAGCAATATAACTCCTAAATTTGTCAAGATTTTCTCTACTTAAGTCTCTTCGTTTAATACTCCATGAATTAATTGTACAAGTCTTTTTCACAGGGCATTTAAGAAGCTGTGCTGTATGGTCAGAGAGACTTAGCTCGATGACTTCGCCTCTAGCTCCTCTAACATTGTGAGCAAAGTTGTCCAGGCATGTTCCACTTTTTTTTCTTGTTGGCTCTTTGATTGCAAGTTTTAAATTGTAACATAACAATCGATTCTGAAATTCTCGGGTTGTAGAAGATTTTTTCAATATATTTATATTAAAATCACCACATATGACAATTTTCTTCCCATTTTTTTTTACAATCGCATTTAAACTAGTCTCGAGAGTGTCATAAAATATATCTAAACTGGATTTCTTTGTATTTGGTACTCTGTATATACAAATGACAATGAGATCATGATCACATATTTCTACAGCACAAATCTCTACCACAGATTGAATTGAGCATCTCTTAATATTATCAATTACTTTATATTTCAGACCAGATTTTACTAAAATACAAGAGCCACCTCGCCTTTTGTCTCTTGAAAAACTTGCTGCTAGTGTGAAATTTGGTATAGTTAAGAACTCCTCTAAAGCAGTAACCATATTATGCTCTGTTACACATAAAATATCCACAAACTTTTGTTGTCTTTTAAGATCTTCCAAATGTAATGCCAGTTCGTCACTTTTGCTATGTAATCCTGCTATATTCTGATGCAATATATTCAAATAATTATAAAAGAAAAAACTGAGCTTTTTGAGAGTTCTCGCATCGATGGTCAAACGTATAATCAATCTTATTTTCTGCGTTTTCTGCTTGCTTTGACAAAATTACTTTTGCAATATTTTGAAGAACATTCTGAACGCCATAACGATTTAACTTTCCAGTAAACTGTGAAAACATATCAAATGTCAAATCATAATTGGAGTCTCATAATTGGAGTTCGCCTGGATGTTGTCTCCTTTCTTGCCCACTTGTTTTTTTTAAACAATCTCCGCGTAACTTGAGGTTTCTCCCGATATCCCTCGAGCTTGTTGAGGTGTGCGATTTTGTTGTTGTGAGAACGGCGAACGTGCCAGAGGCTGATGTCCCTGCAACGGTTGTTGAAGTCGTTGGGATCGATGCGACGTGGGGGGCGGCGGCTGCGGCAGCGGTGGTGGAGGGAGCAGCGGCGGCATGATTTGCGGCCGTGCCTGCGTCCACTGTCGGGGAGGGCGGATGGGCGGTAACGAGAGCAGCGAGGGGATCTCGAATGGATTTCCGCGCCGGGAGGGTGGACCCTCTGGATAAGAGATCGGGCCTGCCATCTCCGCGGGTGGTCGCCAGGGGCTTTGTTTGCTGGTCCTCTCGAAGCCTACATTACCCCCTTGCGGTGGAGGCCTAAATCTTTGTAGTTGTTGTTGTCGTTGAGGTAACTGCGGCCGCCCTCGTTGCCGTATTGAGAGGGGTTGTTGTTGCAGTCGTGGTGATTGTGGAAGCGGTTGTGATGATAATTGCGTCCGTTGAGTTGATTCGTTGACCCTAGGATGTTGGTTTTGCGGGACTCTTTCTCTTTGCTGTCGTGCTCGTTGTGTGGTGTCGTATGTTGGGATGTTGGTTGATGGTGGTGGTGGTGGTGGTGGTGGAGCGGGTGTGTGTGTAGGTGTGGTGGTGTTCTCCCGATGATTTTTGGTTCGCCTTCTTCTGTTGTTTCTTCTTGTTGTTTTCCTCTTTCTACCTGCATTTTCCCTTGTTTCGGTTTGGGTTTCGGTTTTAGTTTTGGTCTCGAGTTTAGATTGGGTAATCCGTTCTTGCCCGGGAGCGTCACCTGAGCGAAGCGCCTCGATTTGCTCTTGTAATCGGGATAGTCGCTGGTCCTGTTCCCGTTGGATCTTTTGATGTTCTCTCAGCGCGTTCATGATTTGAACCAGGTCCGGGTGCTTGTCGCTTCTCCTGATCCTCGGCTCGTTTGCGCTGGTGTGTTGTTCGGGCTCCTTCCCGCTGTTCCTGTGATCATTCCCGTTTCCGCTCCCTGCATGGTGAGGAGAGGAATTGGGGGAGGAGGTGGTGAGGCCGGTTTGAGGCTTCGGGATGACATTGCCGTTCCTTGTTCCCGAGCAAGGCTCGTTAGTTTTCCGGGTTTGATTCGAAGGGGGGGGGGGGGAGGAGGCGGAGGGGGGGTGGGAGGCCGAGGAGGGGGGGGACACGAGAGAGTGTCTTTTCCGCCTAGGTCGATTATTAGTTTGCGCAGTTGTATAGCTTGTTTTTCTACATTCAGGAGTTCTTCGCACCTGTTCCTAATGATTGCAGCTATTCTTTCGGTGTTGTATGGATTCGTGTGTTTGTTGCTGTTTGCATTCGCGTTCGACCTGCGGGGCGTGTGTCGACGGAGCCCAATTGCGAAGAGTGGGTCCGTTTTTATTGTTCGGGCTGTGCCCGTTCGTGTGCCGGCCAGTCCTAGTATTATGGCATATAATTTTTTTTTTTCTTTTTTTTTTTTTTCCACCGCCTCGTCTAGTGGGTGCGTGTCTTTATTTGTTTTTGTTTTTAGGTGGTGGTCCGATTCTGCTCCTTCTTTCTTATTCTGTCTCTTTTCTTTGGTGTTGTTGATGTTGGAGTCAGAATTTTCCTCATCGTGATTCATTTTTTCCCTTTTGCAGGGCGGAGAGGAGTAGGAGGAGGAGGGGGAAGGGGAGGAGGAGGAGGAGGAGAAGGAGGAGGAGGAGGAGGAGGGGAAGAAAGATTCCGAAGGGCGCTCCTGAGGAGCGGTGGGGAGCGAGGAAGGGTCCTCCTCCTCCGTTCCCGTCGTCTGTAGAGTTGGTGCAGAAGTGGCGGCGGCGACAGAGGCGGCTGCGCGGCTATCGCTGAGGACGCCGGTAAATTTGAGTTTGGTTTGAATTTCGGTTTCGGTTTTGGTTTTGGCTAAATTTTCGCTAACGGAGGCCCCATTGATTATCACTGCGCCTGTTCCCTTCGGCGGTGATATTGCGCTGTGTGTGTCCGCTGGCTGAGCAGGGGGGGGGCTAGGGCGGCAGATGAGGGGGGGGTACCCGAGGTCGTCTTTTCCTCGTTATCCCCTATGGGTTCGATTGCGGGTGTTGGGAGCGATCTTTTGCCTATCCCTTTCCCTTTTCTCCCCACCTCTTTGTTATTGATGATTCTTCCCCTCCCAGTGCCTTCTGATTCGCCAGCGGTATTCCTCTGTTGCTCCCTGAGCCGTGACAGTGGTGGGGGCCGTTCGGTGCGTCCTGCGGTCTCCTTCTCTCTGTCCCCTGTCCGTGTGTATGAGCAACTGGGAGTATTCCTCCACTCTTCCATGCTGTAAGGCTCGTCCCCCTTCCTTTTGTCTTTATTTCTTGTTGTTGTTGTTGTTGTGCTGGGGGGGATGGTGCCCTTTGGAGAGGTGCATTCGGCAGTTCTATCCGTATCGTGGCTGGAGGTGGAGCTGAATGATGATGATAATGACGACGATGATAGTCTAGGTGTCCTCGGCAAGTCGTCCGGTGATGCCAAAGACGAGAGGGAGGAGAGAGAGAGCGGAGACGGCGGTTGGGGCTCTGGTGTTCTTGTGGGAGCAGGGTGCGGGGGTTGTGATGCCCAAATGTTTATCGTGTCCACGGAGTCCGAGTCAGACAGTCTCTCGCCCGTCATGCCCATAAATCTGTCCGGTGAGATGGTGACCGTCGATCCGGTGTCCGTGTATCCGTCAGAAATTATAGTTGAGTCGTCACAGTGGCCGTGGTCCTTGGCCAATTCTTCCATCAGCATTTCTCTTCTTTTCCTATTTCTAATGAGCGGCCCTTTGCGTGCGTTACCGTTGCTATCGCCCTTGTTGTTGTTATTAGTAACGTGCTTGGAGTTTGTTTCCCCGGGATTTTTATCATTATTAGAGGTTTTTGTTATTGTTTGATTCATCCTGCCCGTTATTAGTTAAGAGATCTGTGTGAGTGTGTGTGTGTGTGTGTGTTTGTGTGTGCATATGCAGTTTTGTTTGAATATATCAAATGGTAAACTGAACTAACTTATCTATCTGATCCGATCCTAACTAAATCTTAACAATCTGAACTGAACAAACTTAGCAATCTGATCAGATCCCAGCCGTCAATCTGATCAGATCCTAACGGTATCTTATCAGAACTGTACTGACCTGAGTCGATCTGAACTGAACTATGTTTTAGCTGAATCCTAACGATTTGAACTGAACTACCTTATCAATCTGATCTAAACTGATCCTAACAGTACCTTATCTAATCTGTACTGACCTGAACTGATCTGAACTGAACAATGTTTTAACTAGACCTTAACGATCCTAACTGGACTAAGTTATCAATCTGATCGGATCCTAACGGTATCTTATCGGAACTGTACAGACCTGAGTCGATCTGAACTGAACTATGTTTTAGCTAAATCCTGACTATTTGAACTGAACTATCTTATCAATCTGATCTAATCAGATCCTAACAGTACCTTATCTAATCTGTACTGACCTGAACTGATCTGAACTGAACAATTTTAACTAAATCTTAACGATCCTAACTGAACTACCTTATCAATCTGATCTAATCAGATCCTAACAGTACCTTATCCGATCTGTACCGGCCTGAGTTGATCTGAACTAAACTGTGCTGTAACTGAAGCTTAACTATCTGAACTGAACTAACTTATCAATCTGATCAAATCGGATCCTAACAGTATCTTATCTAATCTGTACTGACCTGAGCTGATCTGAACAACTCAATCTTAACAATCTGAACAACTAAATCTTAACAATCTGAACTGAGCTAACTTAACAATCTGATCTAATCAGATCCTAACAGTACCTTATCTAATCTGTACTGACCTGAACTGATCTGAACTGAACAATTTTAACTAAATCTTAACGATCCTAACTGAACTACCTTATCAATCTGATTTAATCAGATCCCAACAGTACCTTATCCGATCTGTACCGGCCTGAGTTGATCTGAACTGAACTGTGCTGTAACTGAATCTTAACTATCTGAACTGAACTAACTTATCAATCTGATCTAATCAGATCCTAACAACCGTCTTGTCTGGGAAGTCGTACTGAGCGCACGCGTCCCGGGTCGCTCCTTCCCCTTACTCAATAGAATAATACAATTTAACACTAAAATCAATTTAAATTATCCAATCAAGTAAAACTAAACAAACTTTATCCAAATCAAGTGTGAAAAATCAAATTAATATACAAATAACACAAAACTTAGTGAAAAACTGTTCAAAGTGTTCCGATCGGTTAAGGTGAAACCGAATGAGACGATAAAATATCGCGTAAAAACCATCAAAAAAAGTGCCTCCCGGAGGAAAACTAGTTATCCTCATAAGTGAGTACCCGGAGTGAACATAGACATATCGGTTCCCTTCAAAGGTAACCTAAAACTTAGCGAAAAGTGTTCAGTGTGACCAGTTCGGTTAAGGTCAATCGGAACATAGCACCGAAACATCGGGTAAAAGACTTTTACCAAGGTGCCTCTTGGAGGAAAGCTACATACCAACAAAAGTGAGTACTTGGAGTGAAAACGCGGGACATTTTTATAACAAAACTTAGCTGTTTTTCGCAATAGTTAAGATAGTACAGGTCTGTTAGGATAGACCGGAACAAAGTGTTAACAGACCAGATCAAGTTAAGTTAGTTCAGTTCAATTTGAACACACCTGAACAAAGTGTTAAAATCGTTCGGTTCAGTTCGGTTCAGTTCCGCTCAGTTCTGTTTCGTTCAGATCGGTTCAGGTTGTTCGGTTCACATAGTCTACACCTGAACACAGAGCTTGATGTGGTATAATAAGATCATTACATGGGTGCCTCTCTAGCGAAACTAACACGCTGCAATCGTGACTTTTGTGCCGGTGCGGTTCAGTACGATAAATCGGCTAACTAAGCGAATTGAGCTACTCAAGTGCGTTCTGGGATTTCGCGTAACAAGTGACGGCAAGTGACATCAGGCCTCCGGCATTGCCTCCTAAGACTGCCGGAATACACTAGATGAGCTCGATCCCGGCTCCGGGCCGCCGCCCTTTGAGCACACGACTGCGGACCCGCCGGGCTGCGGGAGCGGCTCAGCCACCTCGAGCTTCGGATCACCAAGGACCGGCTTTCCAACATCTCACTGTCCGGGCCCGCATCCGAACACCTCGCCGAGCGGAACGATATCTGAACACCTTGCTGAGCGGGACCGGCAACCGCACATCCGGCTGAGTCAGGCAGGGGTTATAACACCTTCGAGGACGCAATCTCACCACCGAACACTGCTCCTACCCCACGGCGCGACAAGACAAGACGAGTCATCCCCGAACCGAACGGCTGCCGGTGTCGGCCGTCACGCGGCGGCGACTGCTGACCCGCAACCACGCTCCAACTTCAGACCGGCACCCCAACATCATACCATGCCGGGCTCGCATCCGGGCGCCTCGCTAAGCGGAACGACACCAGAACATCTGAACATCTTGCTGAGCGGGGCCGGCATCTGCACGTCCGGCTGAGTCGGGCAGAAGTTTCAACATCTCCAAGAACGCAAGCTTGCCGCCGAGCACGACTCTTGTTCCGTGGCGTCACAGGACGAGCTGCCCCCGCGCCGAACGGCTGCCGGAGCCGGCTGCCGCGCGGCGGCGACTGCTTACCCGTAACCATACTCCAACTCAAGGTAGGAACATGCATTGCATTCTCCTCTGCAAAACGGGCCAACACTTCTGCCACCCGGACCACCGAACCGGGCCGCTCACGCCGAACCGGGCACCGATCCAGCTGCGACCGCCTGAAAATCAACTGGCAACAATTGCAATCATTACTCTTTCTCAACTGTAACGATTAATTCATAAATACAATTATGATCACTGTTCTTCTCAATTGTAACGATTAATTCATAAATAGATTCAATGATGATTATCATAATTATTACCAATTAATCAACTACTTAGGATTCATTATTTTTTTTTATTTTATTTTGTTTTATATTTGTGATTTTTGTGATTTTGTAATTTATGAGATGCTAGGATCATATTCAAATAGCTATGTTAATATCCGTACAAGTGTGTTCAGATCAAATCTGTTCAATTATGTTAAGATCATGTTCAAGTTGTTCCGTAAATATGTTAAGTTCATGTTCAGGTTTGCTAAGTTAATATCAGTACAGTTATGTTATGATCAGGCGCAGGTCTGCTGATCAGATATGTTAAAATTAAAACGTTAATATTGGTCCCGGCTTGCTAAAAATCGTAGGATTGGTGAAACCATTAACGACTATGAAACCGGTTCAGATTGGTTCAATTATGTTCAAATTGTCATGTTAATATCCGTACAAGTGCGTTCAGATCAAACCTGTTCAATTATGTTAAGATCATGTTCAAGTTGTTCCGTAAATATGTTAAGTTCATGTTCAAGTTTGCTAAGTTAATATCAGTACAGTTATGTTAAGACCAGGTTCAGGAGACCTGCTCAGATATGTTAAAATTAAAATGTTAATATTGGTCCTGGCTTGCTAAAAAATCGTAGGATTGGTGAAACCATTAACGACTGTAAAACCGGTTCAATTTGTTCAAATATGTTCAAATTGTCATGTTAATATCCGTACAAGTATGTTAAGATCAATCTGTTCAATTATGTTAAGATCATGTTCAAGTTGTTCCGTAAATATGTTAAGGTCATGTTAATATCCGTACAAATGGGTACAGATCAAATTTGTTCAATTATGTTAAGATCATGATCAAGTTGTTCCGTAAATAAGTTAAGGTCATGTTAATATCCATACAAGTGTGTTCAGATCAAATCTGTTCAATTATGTTAAGATCATGTTCAAGTTGTTCCGTAAATATGTTAAGTTCACGTTCAAGTTTGCTAAGTTAATATCAGTACAGTTATGTTACATAAATAATCCCATTATCCCAAGCACTGTGAAACAATCCCATTTATTCTGCGTTAACCAAAAGCAATCTCATAACATTGTGTATCTTAAAACAATCCTGTTTATCCAAATTTGATTTAAAAAAAAAAAAAAAAAAATTATATATACACATACATAGATATACAAGCAACTATATTATGATTAGTTAATCAAATTGCCGCTATCCATTATACAACTATACAATTACTACAAGTTGATTAGAATATGTCACAAGATATTATACAAAACAACTGTCTAATTGTACAATTATTACTATAGGACACAAGGGCTAAACAAGCTCATATATATTTTAGTATAAGCATTTAGTCATGATTATGTAACAATTATCCAATAATCCAATTATCCAATTATGTTATCCTTATAATTTAATCAAAATGGATCGATATTCAACTAATCCAATGTATGATTGAGCTTTTATATAATCCAATACTCAATCATTACAGTTCTGATCACTAATTGATTGGGTCATAAAGATAGATTAAGTTCAATAATTATAATTAACACAATAAGTACTCCTTTTTTTTTTATTTTTTTATATACAAATAATTATTATCATTTCTCAATCAATCAATAGCTGATCGGAATCCAACAACAAATAATATAACTATCCAATCGTACAAATCATCATATTTTAATCAAAGCTGATCGGGATCCGACAGCAAATCAAATCTGATGTATGATTATTTTATCCAATTTGTATCAATAATCATAATGTACCAATACGATGTGATATCAGTTAATTAGCAGTCGACCAAACCAGCCATTATGTACCAATATATCCATAGAACATAACCATCCAATGTAAAGTGTCACCGCCATTCAATTACATACAAACACAGTAACTAGCACCTCTGTAACAATAACTCATCATCCAATAGTGTAACTTTTTATTTCAGATTCACCCAGGTTAGGAAGGGAATCAATTTCAACTTTAATCACCCGAGCTCAATTTCACATCTAGTATCATTGAACAACAAGTTAATTGTTCCATAGACCG